TGCTTACATTTCAGGACATAAGACATCTGGAGGAAACTCTTCTATTTGAAATATAATAAATGACAACAATAAAACATTTTAGCTGTAATAGTGTAGAAAATGTAAAAGCTGCGGCAGCTTTCAGAAACCAACATGTCCTAATCAGTAGGTTTCCATAATTTGATCATCTCAAGTTTAAGTATTTTATACATGTAACATTATACATATACACTACTGTATGTTATGTATTCTATAGTAATGGTTTATCACAGCTTATCTTTAAAGATGCCCCCAAATCCAAAGAAAAGGGTCAAATTAACCGTAGAAAAGGAAAACTGGAGGATGCGGGCATCGATCCCGCTACCTCTCGCATGCTAAGCGAGCGCTCTACCATCTGAGCTAATCCCCCTGTTGAGCCAGTTCTTGAAAAAAGGAGAACTTATTCCTTGTCCCGTGCATCAATGACAGATGTGTTCTTACAACCTCTAAAGACAGTTTTTTGACAACAGCAGAGACACCTTACCAAGGCCTCACACTTGAGTTAGCAACTCTGCAGTGTTACTCACTGTGAACTTACAACAATCACCTGATTGGCTGACTGTAGGCGGGGAACGGGTGGGATTGGTCACTGACGTAAAAGAAGGAAGCTCCAGGGCAGCTGATAACAATCGGTCTGTGACAGTGTACGTCACTTCCGCAAAAGCGCAATTCATTTAGGGTAGTTAGCGCCATTTCTGTGGTGAAGAGACAGCAGCAACAAACAAAAGAAAACTAACATAGAGCAGACGTGTTCTAGTTGCTTCTTTGGAAATAATGGGACACTGGTGCTGCGTCAAAGGATGCAATAGTAATTCTAAACAGAAACTAGAAAAAGCTGTTTCGCAGAAACAGCAAAGTGGGAATGCTTTTTTTGCTGAACGAAATAATAAAAATTAGCGAAAGAAACTGCGAGAAGGAAAAGAAGCACAAATTAGCTGAGGAACATATGAAAATGTGAAAGGAAGTAATCAGAAACTTAAAACTGCAGAAAACAATTGAATCATCTGAAGATTTTGTAGGGTAGAATCATCTGGCAGTAAAATGGCAGAAACAGACTCATCTTAAAAGCTTCACAGCCAAACCATATATGACATAAAAAAATCACTGGAAGCGTCTTAATGTAATGTCTCCCAAGTTTCTAGAAAAAGTTCTAAAGAAATCTTGAAGGGGGGCCACCTACTTTCCAGAAACATGTCAGGCGTGTTATAATTTAGCAGCAAACAGAAAAGCTTAATTCCTGTTCAGAGAGAGAGCAGAATGAAGCCAAAGTTCACAACATAGGCTGAAAAGTATTAAATTAGCTGAATTAGAAAAGAAATTCAAATAGAAAAACTTGAATCTTATCTGGTTGAAGAAAAAAGTAGTAGCTTAAGGATGGGAAGTAAAATGTTGAGGAAGATGGTATTGAATAAGTATCAAAATTTTGAAATCATATGTGGAAATGTCAAGACTTGGCAAAACAATTTGAAATTATTTAAAATGTGTTGGTTGATCAACATAAAGAAAACAGTGTCATCCTTAGAGGACTGAAAATCTACAAACCTATGTTTAACACTGACCATGAGAAGCAGAGGAAGGACAAAGAGAAGCTTATAGAAAGAGAGTTAATAAAACTTGAGGAGCTGAATTTACCAAAAAAAACGAACCTGCATGTTACGAGCCACTGTGTTGATGAAAGCACCATTGGCAGGCTTAGGCTGCATATTACGAGGTTAGCAGATGCTTTATTACAGTGTAAATCTTAAAGCCTTATTAAGAAATGTGCACTGAGGTGTGTGGTCAACAGGCCTTGGTAGTGTAATTTGAAGAAATTGGTTGACTTTGGGTCATAGCTACGAGCCATACGGCACAATGAATGAGTGTGTGCAAGGAAGAGGCTTTTATCTTGTAGAGTCCCTTTAGTCTTATTTCAAAAGTCTATCATGGATGTGTGTCGAGGGAAGGGTCATCCCCAGCAGTGATATAGAATCCATTTCTAAATGTGAAATCACTGGTTTTCCATGTTATTGGGTGAATACATGCTGTATCAGAACATAAATGGGAGACTTTTATTGTGAAATTCGCTCTGGGATATGTTTTGAAAAGTTCCCTAGAGTCTAATAGAATCAAGATGGTAGAGTTTGGGTCATAATGCTGAGCCATTTGCATCAAGTAATGCACGAGTATAACATAGAGGCTTTTATTTTGTAGGGTCACTGGAGTCTTACTGTGAAAGTCTAGCAGGGTTGTGTGTTGAGAAAAGGGTCAGACCCAGCAATGATACTTCATGAATTTGCAATAATTGAATTGCTACTTTTACCTGTTTTTAGTTCAATAGATGAAGTGGCAATGGGAGGCTTTTATTTTGAAATTTGACATTAGGCACATTTTGAAAAGCCCCGTGGAGTCTAATTTTCGGTTAGGTTGAGTTTGGGTGATAATGTTGAGACATATGCTGTAAAAAAAATAAGAGTATGATAAAGAGGCTTTTATTTTGAAGGGTCCCCGGAGTCTTATTTTGAAAGTCTATCAGGGTTGCGTGTGAAGGGAAGGGTCATAGCCAGTAGTCATATGTTATCCATTTCCCAATGTTAAATCAGTGTTGTCTCCCTCCATTAGATTAAAATGTGCTGTTTAAAGTGGCAGAGGTAAAATCCCTTTGAAGCTCGGTTACCTTGACAACGCTTAACGAGCCTGTCAGTGAGAGAGAGAAACGCGCTTCACTTTCGTTCCTTTCCTCTCAGGCTTTTTTGAATGGGAATATCAGCTCCAAACAAACGAGTGCTGAAGACAAACCGTAAATGGTATCTAAAAAAGTCTTTCAGTCTAAGCGACAGCTATCCTTTGTCTCCGATTAGGGTAACTTTCATGGCTGTAGCTCATTCACAGCCTTAATGGGAAGGAGAAATATAAAGGTTTGTAAATCCTGCTGGTCTCATTAAATAACATGCAGTGTATAGTGTTTTGAATAGACGTGTAAAACACTCAACCTTTCATCTACTTTGCAGGTCAACCCGCATATGAGATGATGGAGACTGACCCAGACTGGGCTCCATCCCTGCATCTGGGCCACACTGACATCAGACCAACAGACACAGAACGCTCTTTAAGACGTGGTTATCGGGAACAGCTGAAAAAGAATGCCCTGCAAGCAACTGAAACGGGGCTCCATCAGGCTGATGAAATCCTTCAGCGACAGGATGAAGTTACACATGAGGCGACAGAGAACCCTAACCAGCAACAGACCGACACGCAGAAGGCTGCTGAAAACGTTGGCCGGCCAAACACCAAGGATGACACAGAAGGTGGTCGTCAGGAAGGACAGACAGAATGTAACCTGTGTGTGCTCAGGTGTGCAGAGATGAACCGTCTTTTGGAAGAAAACAGAGAGCTGCAGCGTGAACTTGATGAGCTGCGGATCTCTGATTGCTTCTTTGGAGACAGTAATGAAAAAGTCCAGTACTATACGGGTCTACCAAACTTGGCAACCTTTATGGCTTTGTTTAATTTTCTGCTGCCTCTCATGTCTGCTCAAAATAAAATTCTCAGTCCATTTCAAATGCTCTGTTAACCTTCATGCGTCTGAGATTGGATCTGCCCTCAAAACACCTTGCTATCTCTTCCGTGTTTCACCAAAGACTGTGTACAGAACATTCAATGAAATGGTGTCATTTTTATATGCAAATCTAAAGCGTGCAATTGTGTGGCCAGATAGAGACACCTTGCACAAAATTATGCCTCATCAGTTTGTGGAGGCCTTTGGACATAGGGTCACAGTGATTATTGACTGTTTTGAAATTTTCACAGAGAAACCAGCTAATAAATGAATGCCAGATCAAGTACTGTTTCAACTTTATTCTTCTTTTTTTATTCTTCTTTTCACACAAATAGAATTTTGCTTTTCTTAAAGTTACTTTTGAAAAATAACAGCAAAACAAATATAAGTTTCACCATCACTTCAAATATTAATGTTTTCTGAAGTTGTAAAAATGTGTGTACAATAAAGAGTGGATTTGAAATTTGAAACAAGTGTTGTTATTATCTTTTCAATCAAGCAGAGGATTTATGAAAATGCAATACAAAATCTCAAATACATAAATAATGCAGAACAGTGCAAAGCTTCAAATGTTGTACTTTGTCTTCCTCCCTCGTATATAGCAGATTGCTCTTTAGATTAAATTAGAAGATTTTCATTTTCCCTGGCCTTGTTTTCACTGTGGTCTTCCTTAGAGATATGACCTAACAGGTGATATCTGTAAAGAAGACTGCAGATCCCAGTGAAAACAGGCCTGGATAAAGTGAACAGCAAATACAGTGTGCAACTTATCAATGTGCAAAAATTATGACAAGTTTTTTCATTCAGTCTGATGAGCAGCACAAACTGCTCTAATAACTGCAGCTATCTGTGCAACTGCCCACAACATCTGCCTTGTCACTGTAATAATAATATATAATATCGTTCCCTAGCAGCTTTAGAAAGTTTGTCTGGGTAGGGTATCCGTTCAGTTTTCTTGTTCTTTTCCATTTAACTGATAATCCTCACTGCTGGCAGCGCTCTCCTCTTGTTTTCTGCTGTTTTGTTTTTCTTCCGCTCACCACAAAAATGGCGCTAGGGGGCGTGTCAGTCACGTGTCTGACAAAGACCGATAGAAATAATGGGCCGTTGTGACAGGCAGTAAACAAACTCAGACACAGAAGCTGGAGGTTATTTTCAGTCAGCTGATTGATTGATTGACTTTATTGATCTCACAGTGGAGAAATTTAGTCGTTACATCAGCTTGGAGGAATCCCGTCTGGTCCAGAGGCTTTCTCTGTCTAAGTCCCTTCAGCTGGCCTCTCAACTGCATCGCTGTGACTGAGGGGGCAGGGAGGCATGGCAGAGGGTGTGAGTGGGTGGGGGGTTGGTGAGAGTGGCGGTGAGGGGGAGGGTCCCCCAGTTGAGCCATATATAGGGTGGGTCTCTGTGTTGTGGGGGTAGGAGACATGCTGAGAGTTGAGGAGAGGGAGGGGGGTGGTGTGAGGGGGGTCAAACTGTGTTAAAAACCTGTTAAGCTCGTCAGCAAACTTGATGTCCCTGCAGCCCTGCTGGTGGTGTTCCTCTGCCCAAAGCTGGAGGTGTTCTTCAGACCCCTCCACTCATCTCTGACGTTGTTTTGTGCTAGTTGTTCCTCTGTTTTCCTCTTGTAGTCCTTCTCTGCTGCCCTGATCCTCCATTGGAGCTCTTGCTAGACTCTCCGCTGCTCTTCTCTGTCCCCTGAGTTGAAAGGCCTTTTTTTCTGGTTCACGAGGACTTTCAGCTCAGGAGTCACCCAGGGATTGATGTTTGGAAAGCTCTGTAGTCGTCTTGTGGGCACAGTGCTCTCTACACACAGAAGGTCATGTAGTCAGTGATACTTTCAGTCCGGCTGTTGATGTCGTTACTATGAAAGCTTTGGAACACCCTGTGGTTCTGAAACGATCCTCAATTTCTCAGTGGCCTCATCTGACCAAACTTTCACTGACTACTTCTGCAATGTTGTGCTTCTCACCACTGGTATGTAGTGGGGGAGCAGGTAGACAAGGTGTGACGTACTGGGTGAGCGTAGGGACGGTGGAACGGAGGGAGGCTTGATTGAAATCTCCACTTATGAGCAGGAGAGAGCGGGGAGGCTTTGATTGCAGCTTGGTCACTGCGCCGTGGATCCCCTCGCATGCAGCTCTGGTGGTTGCATTAGCATTATTTTATCAAAAGCGTTCAGAGATAAAAAAAAAATAAAATAAATAAGTTTCATAATTAAATCCCAGGTGGGAGATTTGATCCCCTTTGCTTTTCAAATGCTGGTATTTCTGTTAATAAAACACTGGTTTCTCTCTCACTGCACCACTTTTCCTAAAATAGACCAAACTTTTTTGGTTTGTTTTCCTTGGTTTGTACTAGGGCTGAATATTAATCAGATTAATTGTGATTAATTGATTATTAAAGTAAACATCCACTAATTTAGTAAATAATTAATCAGTAACTGGAGTATAGAGACTCTAAAACATGCATTTAGCCGACAGAGCAACAGATGTAGAGCAGTAACTATACCAACATTGTTAATAAATAATAAAAAATATATATATATAAACAACTTGTAATGTATTCTATTGTTAAACCTATTATAACTTATTCCAGTCCTACTTAATTTAGAAACAAACATACTTTTTTTTTGTCCTTTTTCAGAAGGCAGTAGAACAGCTCAGGTGAGAGAACAACTAGAAACAGTTCAATGGTATCATATAACACTGGATAATAGTAATTTGTTCTGGTTTATGTGTGAATGCAGCAAAAACAGGAAGAGACAGCAGAGACGGAGGAACAGGCCAGAATGAGGAGACAGAGATGGAACAAGAAGCTGGTGAGAAATTGTAGTTCAATATTTTTTATACACAATGTCTTGTTTTCATGTTTCTTGGTCCTGTAACTACAGCATTAAACTTGTTCTGCATCAGACAGCCAGACTCAGGCCAACTTCTTACTGAAATCCTCTCACGTCTAGCTTCACCCCTGCTGCAGCTGCAGAGGCTCCCCTGGCTGGGATTTGAACTCTGGCTTCATTTGCAGGACTGACATTTGTAAGAGCAGTGCTCCCCCTGGTGGTGGCTCTATGTGCTACATCTTCTTCACTGTCTTTAACTTCAGTTGCCCTGATGTCCTCTTCCTTACAGTTAGAGTTTGCTTACATTTCAGGATATAAGACATCTGGAGGAAACTCTTCTTCTTGAATATAATAAATGACAACATTAAAACATTTTAGCTGTAATAGTGTAGAAAAATGTAAAAGCTGCGGCAGCTTTCAGAAACCAATATGATCTCATCAGCAGGTTTCCATAATTTGCTCATCTCAAGTATTTTATACATGTAATATTTTAGTATTGTATACATGTAATATTTTAGTAGTATTTTATACATGTAATATTATACATATACACTACCATATGTTATGTATTCTATAGTAATGGTTTATTACAGCTTATCTTTAAAGATGCCCCCAAATCCAAAGAAAAGGAAAACTGGAGGATGCGGGCATCGATCCCGCTACCTCTCGCATGCTAAGCGAGCGCTCTACCATCTGAGCTAATCCCCCTGTTGAGCCATTTTTTGAAAAAAGGAGAACTTATTCCTTGTCCCGTGCATCGATGACAGATGTGTTCTTGCAACCTCTAAAGACAGTTTTTTGACCACAGCAGAGACACCTTACCAAGGCCTCACACTTGAGTTAGCAACTCTGCAGTGTTACTCACTGTGAACTAACAACAATCACCTGATTGGCTGACTGTAGGTGGGGAACGGGTGGGATTGGTCACTGACGTAAAAGAAGGAAGCTCCAGGGCAGCTGATAACAATAGAAATAATGGCCGGTTTTGACAGGCAGTAAATAAACTCAGACACAGAAGCTGGAGGTTATTTTCAGTCAGCTGATTGATTGATTGACTTTATTGATCTCACAGTGGAGAAATGTACTCGTTACATCAGCTTGGAGGAATCCCGTCTGGTGCAGAGGCTTTCCTCTGTCTAAGTCCCTTCAGCTGGCCTCTCAACTGCATCGCTGTGACTGTGAGGGGGGAGGGAGGCATGGCAGAGGGTGTGAGTGGGTGGAGGGTTGGTGGGAGTGGTGGTGAGGGGGAGGGTAGGTCTATGTGTCCTGGGGGTTGAAGACATCGGGAGCGTTTCCATAATTTGCTCATTTCAACTTTAAGTATTTTATACATGTAATATTGTGTGTATATTTATTCTATATTAGTGGTTTATTACAGCTTATTTTTAAAGATTCGCCCAAATCCAAAGAAAAGAGTCAAAGTAACCGTAGAAAATAAAGAACTGGAGGATGCGGGCATCGATCCCGCTACCTCTCGCATGCTAAGCGAGCGCTCTACCATCTGAGCTAATCCCCCTGTTGAGCCTTTTCTTGCCTAGTCGGCATTGCAGACTGTAAAGAGTGGAGGAGAGGGCGGGGGGTGGTATGAGGGGGGTCAAACTGTGTTAAAAACCTGTTAAGCCCGTCAGCAGACTTGATGTCCCTGCAGCCCTGCTGGTGGTGTTCCTCTGCCCAAAGCTGGAGATGTTATTCAGACCTCTCCACTCATCTCTGACGTTGTTTTGTGCCAGTTGGTTCCTCTGTTTTCCTCTTGTAGATAATTCATACTAGAGTGAGAACTGGACATACCTACTTGAATTAGTTTTTTGTTTGTACTAGGAAAGAGAAATAATGATATATATGAGGGTTGTGAAATAAAAAAGAAAATGTAGATCATGTTTTGATTGATTGCATTAAATATGCAATTCAAAGAGAGAAGATGAGAAAAGTAATTATGGAAAAAGGGAGAGAATGGAGTATTAAAGGAATTTTAGGGACAGATGGAGATGGGAAAGAATATTTGGTTATTAATAAAGCATTGTTTTTATTTTTACATAACACTTAAATAAAAAATAGATTAATAGTAGGTGGAACAATAGAGCTACACACTCATGTACAGTAGGTGGCGGTATGCACTTATAAGTTGTTCGCACCCCGCCAATCTAACAAAGATTTTTTTCAGCAGAAATGTTGGCAATTATTTTATTTATTTTGGCATTGCAATGGGTGTTACGTAGTTATCTGTTCAAATTCAATGTCTTGCTTAAGAAGTATTATAAGTGGACAATCTGAAACCTGTCAAGATCTTTTAGATGAAGTTAGTTATTTGTTATATGGTATAAAACAACAAAAAATAAGTATTCAATTCACATGGGTTCCAGCACAAAAAGGAATTGTAGGTAATGAAAAAGTAGATCAGTTGGCTAAAGAAGCAGTTAAAGCAAGAGAAATTGAATATGATGTCCCATTAAGTAGAGCAGAAATAAAAGTAAGTATTAAAGATAAAAAAAATAATAAATGGCAGGAGAGATGGAATTTAGAAGAAAGACGAAGGCATTTACATGAAATACAGAAGGAGGTAATCATAAGAAATTATAGTATAATGAGTATGAGAGAGGAAGTATGGGTCAACATGGGCATACTAGTTTAAATAGTGGTTTAAAAATGATAGGGAAACATCCATCAGGTGATTATTCTTATTGTTGGGAAACAGAAGGAGTAGAATATGTGTTAATTTATTGTAGAAAATATAAAAGAGAGGAAAGAACTGGAAAGGGTAATGGGGAGTACAGTAAATATGGTTAACTTATGGAAGCATCAATCACATGATATAGTTAATGCACTTATTAAGTATTTACAAGACACAAAATTAGATAAAAGGATTTAGTATTTATGTGTGTGTGAGTGTATAAGTATGTATTTAATTTAGTTATTTTCTTAAGATTTGAAGATATATAGGATTTTTTTCCCAGAAAAACATCTCCGTCCAGTTGATGGCGGTAATACACATATGCATAGTCTGTAAACTGCCATAAAAAAACCATAGAAGAAGAAGAATCTAACAAAGAAGAAGAGGATGAAACATCCTCAGCGGCAGGGGGCGGTAACGAGTCAAACCGTTCCTCCGAGCTTGGTATTTACGGAAGTGAAAGTAACATCAGCAGTTCAAGTCTTTTGTTTTTGATCTTCTAAACAAAACAAAAAAATCATATTGCAATTAAGGTTTATTAATATCAGAAGAAGCATCTTTATTATCCGCTGCGACTGAGCTTCCGTAGGAAGCCCCGCAGTTAACAGACTACCTGCTTCTGGTACATTCAAGAGGAACCGGAGCAGGATGGAGCTGTTATTCTTTTGTAGTTCGAGTGTATTTAAAAACTTGTAACGCTTTGATCCACTCTGGCTTTTTATAATCTATATTTCGTGTTGTGGTCTCCGGAGGGGTGATTTAATTTGAAAGAAAGGGCTGGTAGTCTGCTATTAGCAACATGGGTAACGAGCAGAGCGGAGATGCGGAACATAAACACACCGATTACAGCTCATCTGGTGAGATCCCCATCAGTTCCAGCATGTTTTAAGAACCAAACCAAAAACAACTTTCACAGTGAAGCATAACAATCAGTAAAAATCGATCTATTTATCTCGTTTGTCCTTCTAAATGAGTCATGTTGGTGGATTTTCTATCATTTTAGCGGTGCCTTCTCCGGCGCGGCACAAGGCGAAGATGGATGACATAGTGGTTGTGGCGCAGGGGACTCAGTCCATGAGAAATATCCACAATGATCCCGATGTGATCAAGCTCCAAGAGATCCCGACATTTCAACCACTTCTGAAAGGTAGGCTGCCCGCTGGTTACCTCACAATAAACTCGGATTAACCACCCAGTTTTGAGTATCTTTAAGAAAATATATGTCCAGAGACAGTTTCAGAGGAGGGATTGGTTAAAATTAGTGATGGGGAGATGAAGCCTCATGAGGCATTATTGACCCGTTTGGTCAAATTCCTTTTACGATCCCCACAGTTCATGAAGCCTCATGGGGAAATCTCTCCCCCTATTGGTGGACTGCAGAACTACAGTTGGAAATAAAATCTGTGATTTTTTTGCAAATACTTTTCCCATTTAAGTTTCTTTGAAATTAGACTTAGACATATTTATTTGTCATTGTGTTTACACATGTGTAAAACAAAATTAAATTTAATTTAGAACAGCTCTGGACAATTTCATTTTTTCAATAGTGCAGCCTTGAAAAAATAGTAAACAATATATAAAAACAGTAATATAAACAACAGACTGTAAATTTACAGTTCTAACATTTTCAGTTTTTTTTTCTTTATATATTATGACAAAATAAATGTAATAAAATACAAACATTAAATTGTTAATGATCGGTGTGTAAAATAGTGTATATTAGAAAAGAAAAATAATTTAAGGTACACAGTTTTACTGTAAAATAAGACAGTGAAAGTGTTTGTGCAAATTGGACAATGATGAGCAAAATAAATGGTGACCTTCATTTTAATTCAAACATAATAACTTTTCCATGGTTTTTGGTTTTAATCCAGTTGGGAGTTATGTGTTCAATCTACACTATATTGCCAAAAGTATTTGCTCACCTGCCTTGACTCACATATGAGCTTAAGTGACATCCCGTTCCTAATCCATAGGGTTCAATATGACGTCGGTCCACCCTTTGCAGCTAGAACAGCTTCAACTCTTCTGGGAAGGCTGTCCACAAGGTTTAGGAGTGTGTTTATGGGAATTTTTGACCATTCTTCCAGAAGCGCATTTGTGAGGTCGCACACTGATGTTGGACGAGAAGGCCTGGCTCTCAGTCTCCGCTCTAATTCATCCCAAAGGTGTTCTATCGGGTTGAGGTCAGGACTCTGTGCAGGCCAGTCAAGTTCATCCACACCAGACTCTGTCATCCATGTCTTTATGGACCTTGCTTTGTGCACTGGTGCACAGTCATGTTGGAAGAGGAAGGGGCCAGCTCCAAACT